TACATATGTATTTATATACCTCTATGACGCTGACCACATAGATGCATATAGCTATCTAATATCCAGAACTCGCCAAATAAATTGGCTACTCGCAGCCTCTTTGCTCTAATTTAATCGTACCTGTTTGTCGGCGTGTACTTTTAGCTCGCGATCCAGCCGAAATTGAACGCAGTAACTTGGTAAATATTTGTAAGCTCGTGGTTAAGGAATTATTGGAGCAATCATTAAGGTTTGGACGTATGTTAGACTCGGATCACTTACCGCTGCAGCACTTCTTCATTGTAATAGAGCATGTGTTAGGTCATGGTTTGCGTCCAAAGAAGGTGTGTAACGAATGCATCGTTATCGGCCATCCCTTTTTACTTTTTCTCACAAATTGTTCCAGGGTCTTTTGGGGCCACGCAAAGAATTATGGGACCTGCTTCAAAGTGTAGAAAGCTATTGTCCTGAAGCACAGGACATAACAGCTAGCGTTCGTGATCTTCCCACTGTGCGGACGCACATTGGCCGTGCTCGCGCTTGGCTGCGCATAGCATTGATGCAGAAGAAACTGGCCGATTATCTGCAGGCACTTATCGAGCATCGCGATGACTCGCTCTACGAATATTATGAGCCACATGCGCTAATGATGAGCGATGAGGTGGGTTCAGAGTATGCAGTATAAAAAATAAACCACCAGTTAGCTTAATGTGATTTTTGTGTATTTTATGGTAGATTGTTGTCATAATGGGTATCTTAGTAGGCCTAAATGTGATTGATTGTAATTTGTGCGTGAAAGAAGAAGATTTGGATTCACAGCAGGGTGTTATCGATTTTTCCCTTTATTTGCGTTCGAGTTCGCGGAGTAACGATAACGATGAGGAAATCAATCAATCACTGGAGGCGAATGGTCAGGGCAATATGATAGCCGTATTAGACCAGAAGAACTATATTGAAGAGCTCAATAGACATTTAAAGTATGTACCTCTATCAAGACCATTTGGACAATTGAGCAACACATTAGTAAGACCTTTGCAGCGCCAGTATGACTGACAGAAAGAAACAAGTAAAAGTGGGACATATGTATAACTTACTGATCTTTCAAAGGTTTTACATGTGTTGCTAAATTGTGTCATCCTCCTAATTTTGAAAACAATTAAAGCAAATTTCCATATAGTGCCACGGTAGGTAATCTTCAGGCCAAAGTTGAGTCCCTTACCACTACAAATGCGTTAATGAAGGAGGATCTTGCGATTGCGCGTAATAGCCTATTGGCATTACAAGCTGAGAATCAGGCGCTGCGTCAAAGCACCACAAGTATGTATAGAAAGAACTCTTTTAAGTAATCGCCGTCCCTTTTCTTACTGTATTTGAAAACATTTTTATCCGCATATACATATTTACTTGCGCAGAAGATACTCCTTCATCCAATGCTGAAGCCAGTCCAAACAAATCAACAGATCGAGCGAATAAAGCAACTATCGAATCGCTCACTGCCGAATTGAGTGAAGAGAAAAAGAAAACTCAAGAGTTAGATAAGGAGTTAAAACTACAAATATCACTAAAAGCCGAATCCGATATGGCAATGAAATTGCTGGAGAAGGATATACACGAAAAACAGGATACGATTGTATCACTGCGACGACAATTAGACGATATTAAACAAATTAATTTGGAAATGTATCGCAAATTACAGGTGGGTAAAAGCGAGGTGTGCGGAAACAGGTGAGGTGAGCTGATAAAAAATGGCCGCTTCGTTGCAAAAATAAAACGATAAAAAAAACTATTAATTATAAAAAATAAGTACATTATAAAAATTATAAAACAAAATAAGATAAATTTAAAAAAATTAACCAAATTTCTAAATCCGAATTTAAAGTAGCGGTCAAAAAAATGTGGACACTGATTAATGGTGATATGATTTCGCTGTGTTTAAATAGAAATATATATTTCCATATTTTGAATAAAAATATAGTTCAACCTACAGCAAATTTCATGAAAATAAGGATTCAAAACTTTGTGAAAAAATTTCAAAAAATTCTACGAATTTTCAAGAATTCTTTGACGTTTTTTACTACATAATGAGCGGAACTTTATCGAGATTAAACATCGGGTTAAGCGATCCGGGTTTTTGTGGCCGCTAATATATATAAAAAAATAAATCAAGACAAAATTAAAACAGAATAAATATAAATAATGAAAATAAATGAAATAAGATTGCCTAAAACAAAACAAAAAATAAGTGAAGATTCTAAATCCGAAAATTAAAAGTTCAGATATAAAATAAACGAATGTATTATAAAAAAAAAGCAAAATGAAAAAAAAAAATGAAAAAATAAACCATATTAAATATTTTATTAATAAAATAAGTAAACATTTATTTACTTTAATGCAGCGAAATTTTATCGCGTTTAATCAGTGTCCGTTTTTTTGTGGGAGCTACTGTAAAAAAATTATAAAAAAGTAAGATAAATTTGAAAAAATAAAAACCAAAATAAAATAAGATTAAGTTTTCCTGGACAACTTTTATCCAGGGACGGAGAACGTGTTCCAGTTATGGTTTAGTTCTGCACAAGAACAAAATGTACTGTCAAGAACGTTGCCACAGTTTGAAAGGGAACAAAATAAAAGGTTCGGAAACGTTTCCGTATAAAAAATGCGAACAAAACTTTCGGGAAGTTTTGAATAAGAACAGAACGAGAATGAACCCTTCGGAAACGTTTCCAATGAGAATAAAATAAGAACGAAAGTATTGATAACGTTGTCAAGGAAGATCAAATAAGAACAAAAGTCTGGGAACGTTCTGCTAGAGAACAAAACTAGAACATTGGTTTTAAAAACTTAACGTTAAGAATGAGGAGGCGTCTGCATGTTGGAATGAAAACTCGTTCCATGATTGTTAATTCTAAGCGAGAGGAAAGCTGGATCATTTCAA